AACACCAAGGCGTACGGAACGCTGTTACCTTCCCACCAAAGTGGTACCTATTCATCTACTTGCCATTTCTTGCTTTCGAACTGCTAGGTTGGCAGGAGCTGGAACGAGAGACGGGAGCTCACTCCGTCATGCGGCACACCCGGGTCTCGAACTGCTGAACTACTGACCTTCCACAGCCTGCAGTTCAGCCACCGCAGCTCCTAAGTGGTTAAGTGCGCGGACTCTAATGTGGGAGAACCGGGTTTGATTCCCCACTCCTCCACTTGCACCTTGCTGGATCACCTTGGGCAAGCCGTAATTCTAATAAAAGCTGTTCTTGAAAAAGAGCAGTTTCTGTCAGAGCTCTCTCAGCCCGCCTACCTCACAGGGTGCCTGTTGTGGGGAGGGGAAGCTCTGAGACACCTTTGGGTAGTGAAGGGCGGGGTATAAATCCAATCTCTTCTTCTTCTTCTTCTTCTTCTGGGTGACGCAGGCAGCTCGGTTCTCGGGGCCTGCCACACCTGCAGTTTGAAGACCAAGCCAGGAGAGGGGCTATTATAGTTCTGATGCTTTAGGCTGGTCCTGCATTGGGCAGGGGGTACTAGGACTAGATGGTCTCTATAGCCCCTTCCAACTCTGTGATTCTATCACTTCTGGCCAGGGAAGCCTTGTGCGCCTATCTTGGCAAAAAAAACCCAAAACACCGAGAAAGCAAGGCTCCGGGCTGCAAAAGAGCGGGGGAAAGCTGTTTCCCCTCAAAGGACGCTTTAGTTTTGACACAGAACAGACAGCAATTAAGGGCTGGCAAACCCAAGCGGCAGCTGGGATTCAAAGAGATCTGCAAACTCCGGCTCTGCTGCCGGTTCTCGTCGCTTCCTCTGGTTGATAAGCGGCCAGAATTCATCTCCCGTCCTGCCCTGGACTGTACAGACCGCATCTAGACTCGGCAACTGGTAACACGGGGGCTACCTGGACTTGCAGGCTCATTTCAGCCTTGCAAATAGTTTGGAACCTGGGGTTCCCAACGGTGGCTTGGGAAATTCCTGGAGATTTGACGGCAGCGCCTGTGGAGGGGGGAATGTGACGCCGTAGAGTCCACCCTCGGAAGCAATTGTTCCCTCCGATGGTACCGACTTCTGTAGTCTGGAGAGAGTGAGTCTGGGAGAACTCGGGTCACACCTATGCAGCCCCACCTGCCCCAAACCATGAGCCTCCCCCCCCCCAAAGAAACTCCTCCATTCTTCAGCCACATGCCTCGGTTTCCCCTGGTCTCTTCTGCCCACAGCTCATTTTCTTCTGCTACTTTTAGGTGGTGCCTCTTGGCGTAGTTTGGTGTAGCGGTTAGGAGCGAGGAGTCTAATCTGGGAGAATCGGGTTTCACGCCTTCACGCGCAGCTGCTGGTGTGACCTTGGGTCAGTCACAAGTTCTCTCAGAGCTGTTCTCTCACAAGCAGTCCTTGAAAGAGCTCTCTCACCCCACCTACCTCACAGGGTGTCTGTTGTGGGGAGGGGAGGGGAAGGGACAGGAGAGTGTAAGCCAATTGTAAGCCTCCATGCTGGCAAGAAGGAGGAGG